GTACTGGCCCTGAGAAAAAGAATTCACTATGAAAAAGACTGCACTGAAAACTACGAAACTACAATGGAAAAAAACTCACCGGCTCTCCGACAAAAAACGTCAGGAGGATGAAGCCGACCATCTTGGAGGTGAGCCGCGAGCCAAAGACAAAGACCAGCGTGTGAAGTAGAAGGGCGACCAGTTTGTGGCTCCAGTAGCCGTAGGTGGAGGGCTCGATGCCCACCTCGCGAAAGGAGGAGAAGACGGAGATGCAGGGCGGCACTGCCAGCGCCCCCGGCAGCAGACTGGTCATATAGGAGGTGACCAGAAAGGGCTCCACATTCTGCACGGTGATGCCGTCGCCGGCGTACTCCACCGAGAGAATGTCCGAGAAGGTGGCCATGAAGGCCTTGCAGGCGGAGAAGGTGGAGAAGAGGGGAAACTTGAAGCGGCCCGCCATGGAGTTGTAGTTGATGATGGCGCCCTTGCCCTTCTCCAGCATCTTCGGCAGCACCATCTCGATCATCAGCACCGGCGTGATCACGGCCATGTTGATCATGTCGTGGTTGTAGCTGAGCGGGTACTCGGCGAACTTCTTCGGCGGATAGGAGCCGCCCATGCAGTTCACCAGCGCCACAATGTCCTCCACGCCCTTCACCGTCTGGCGGACCGTCTCAATGGAGCTGGGCTGGAAGAAGTCCACCGAGAGGACCTTGATCTAGAGGGAGAGAGTGGTACAACAACAAAACATTTTAACTCTAAAGCTCAGAGTGCATCAAAGCTCTGCCGGTATGACCACCACACTTACGTCTTTGATCTTGTACTTCTCCTTAAACTCCGCCGCCAGCTTCTCCAACTTGGCGGCATTGCGCGAGATCAAGAGCAGATTAAAGCCCATGGAGGCAAACTCGCGGGCGTACTCCGAGCCGACGGCCCCGCTGGCGCCGACAATCATCGCGTACTCGCCCTTGTCCGGAGTCCACTTCGTGCCCAGGCCAATGTTGCGGCCAAACTTGGCCAGCAGCAGGTGCACCAGGAAGAGCACTAGCTTGATGCCCAGTACCACCGAGAGGATGCCCCAGAAAAAGGTGAACATGTTGTGGGGGTGGGCGAAAGTTAAGGTTCAAGTTCGGAGTTGAGTGAATCGGTGAAGAAGAAGTAAAGCTTCGAGACTGGCAGTTTTTTTGTGGTTGTGATGAGTCAAACAGCAGTCAGTAGATCGCTTTTATGCGTCAGAAAAACAAAATTCGAAATGAATTTGACAAGCAACAAACAATAAAGACAAATGATTGAAAAAAACTTTTATTAACCAAAAAAACTTACTGGGAGTTAAACCTCCCAAATGGTGCGATATTATCTAAATGGAGGATTCTAAAAATATAGTAGGGACAGTAAACGGTAAAACTTAAAAACTCAAATCAATTCAAGGGAAATGAAAGCGCGTAGCANGTCAAACAGCAGTCAGTAGATCGCTTTTATGCGTCAGAAAAACAAAATTCGAAATGAATTTGACAAGCAACAAACAATAAAGACAAATGATTGAAAAAAACTTTTATTAACCAAAAAAACTTACTGGGAGTTAAACCTCCCAAATGGTGCGATATTATCTAAATGGAGGATTCTAAAAATATAGTAGGGACAGTAAACGGTAAAACTTAAAAACTCAAATCAATTCAAGGGAAATGAAAGCGCGTAGCAGGGGCTGCAAACGGATGAGAGCAATGGTTCAGCAACACAGACGGAAAGATGAGTGGATTATCAAGGGGATGAAAAGTGAGTGTTTTTATNAGGGGCTGCAAACGGATGAGAGCAATGGTTCAGCAACACAGACGGAAAGATGAGTGGATTATCAAGGGGATGAAAAGTGAGTGTTTTTATAACGGCAATGTTTTTGATAAGAGATGAAAGAGTATGTGATGAAGTAATCTTAAAATAGGTTGTAGTATCATTGCAATGAAGGTAGAGAGACGCATTCTTTGGACAGGGTTTGTTTTGTCGCCTCCAAAGTAAGTGGTAGCAGTCAAGCTCGAGAGTACGGGTGTGCACTGCTAGGCACTTGGAGGTCACTGGCTTGGAATGGTCAGCTCTGACTGAGGTAGAGGACATCGCGGCTTTAAGGCA